ATGCTGATTCTGCACAATGGCAGCACGATACGTGGCCAAACCACCTTCCTCGAGCTCCGGAAACATGAAGAACAAATGAATCGAACTCAAAAATTCGACCACAGCATCGCCCAGAAACTCAAGACGTTCGTTGTGCGTGATGTTGGACACCGTCTCGTGATCCTTGCCAAAGCGCGACATAATGCTAACCAGAGTATTGATGCCGCGCTTCCTCGTGTTCATATAATGAATCTTACGATCGCCATATTCGGGCTGACGAATGCCACAATTAGTGAGCGAGTTCCGCGCGTGATCCGGATTGGTGCCATAGTTCTCTTTGTAGGAAGGATGCGTCAGAGCCAATTGGAGTAAGTAGCGGTTCTTGAACTTGTAGCCAATGCTCTCTTCCAGAAGATCCAAGGACTTGTGGAAGCGAAGATGACCAGTTAGTACAGGTATAAGCATGGCATGCTGCACTATGTCACACATAATGCCTGTCCGATAGAAGCCCTCCGAGCTGATGGCCACAGTTATATTTCGCTTCATTCGCCCCTGCGTGCGCATCTCCTGCAGCCGCTGCTCCTTGTCCTCCAGCTTGCGCTTGTCCTTGAATGATGGCTTTGACATATTCGCCATTAAATGACGAAATTTAACGTATTCACGCCAGGCTTTCTGATACTCCGGGTTGCCAGCATAGCTCAGCTGAGGCGGGCGTATGCCAAAGTGCACAATCGCTGGATGGGAGATGCCCTTCTCTCGGTCCAAGCACTCGGGTAGATCCGAATTATTTCGGTCCAACTGATCAACACGCAGCGAGCAGGGCTTATAGCCAGGCTTTGTGACCAACATGCCCTTGATGTAATCCACATACTTTTGCCATTCATGTTGGCTTATGTCATTCAGGTGCTGCAGCTGCTGCGGCTCCACCAGCTCCGCTGAATTGTCCAACAGATACTTCAGTACCTCGCACATGGCCAGTACTTCTTTGCCGTTGTCCGGCAGCTCGCGCACAAAGCGTGGCAGGAAGTGAAAAGCTGGACAAGATTGCTCGACATTCGGCATGAGATTAAAGTCAACGAGCTCCAGTAACTCATGGAACAGATATTTAACTACAAAAAAAGAAAAGATTTATATAATAGCTATTATTTAGAGGACGTGAAATGACTTACAGAACAGATCCAATTCGCGAATGGTAAAGTTCTCTGGCATCTTCTCCTCGTCGTATTCAATTGTGTACTCAATGTTAAAGCGAATCACTTTACAGACCGGCAAATCCGTCAGGCGGACATGGGAGAGCAGAGAGAAGCCCTCAAAGAGAAATTCATGCTCATCGTGTTTGATAATTGTCGGCGTTTTGGTCAGAAAGTTCGTGGGCGGCGAAATGGTGATGCGATAATGAAAAAGTTTGCCTGCATTGTTCGTGTCCTTATCGCAAAGGGGGTAGCCCTTCTCGCCCGGATAGATGCCATGTCGTATGCCGATGCGTCGTGATTTCGCCGAGCAGCGACAGAGCGGCCCATCGTTCATTTCGCCTGCATCATTGTGCCACAGATCGGAATGCAACCGCTGAGGGTGTTCCATCTTGCGCGACAGCTCTTCCATGCAGCAATCTTGCTCGATTTTAAAGGCATCCTCATCCGAATCCGAATCGGAGCTAGAGGAACACGCCTCTGATTTATGCTTGTGGTTACAAGCACGTCTTCGCGTCTTTCGTGCAGGCGGCACATAGACGGGCAACGTCTTCCTCACTCGCTCGGCACGTTCGATGAGCTGCTGCTGGAACAGCTCGCAGCGTTTATGAAGGCGCGGCTTGGCCCTTACTTCGTGCTCGGTCTTTGTGCGCTCGTAGTAGAGTTCGGCGGGCGATGAGCGCACCCAGGATTCAGCAGGCGCCTCGGCTTCGATCAAGGCATTCATTTTCTTTATGTAATCCTCAGACTTCTCACAGTAGTTGGAACACCATTGACGCAAGAGACGGTCCCGCTCCGTCTCCATCTTGGGCGTGGTTGCCGCCTCGTTGTGCGTGCTCTTCGGAATCCTTTGGTTGCTATGATACGACTGCCGTGGATTATAATACCTCTGTTCATAGCGATTGTTATAGTTATAGCCGCCATAGTTTTTCGAATAGTTATTGGGGTAATAGTTGTGACTGGGCGGACGATAATTGTAGGAGTAATTGCCCTGTCTGTAATCTGATCTAGAGTCATAACCAGAGCTGGACGGCTTAGCTCCGTAATTTGATGGCGGTGCTGCATAGCTCTCAGGATATCCATAATTACCATAGTAATAAGGAGTTGCGTTGGCTGCATATGTCGGTGGTGGCGGTGGTGCTGCAGCATATGGCGCATAAGCTGTGGCGTCATATTTGCCATAATTCATAGATGAACCTTGAGAATTGTAAGCATCGTTCATACTCCATGGGTGCTGTGCATAATCGAAGTTAGCCGGCGGAGGTGCTTCAATGCTAACCGGCTGGCCATCATGAGTTAGGCCTGTTGGGGGCAATTTTATGGCTTCAGCTGGTGGCGGAGGTGGTGGAGGTTGTGTGGGCACATCTTGCGGCGGCGGCAGAGGTGGCTGGTACATAATTTTCTAGTCAGAGCCCTTTTCAGCTCAACTTCTTTGCGAAAACTGATCACTATAGTAATTTTTGCGGCAGCCCTTGAAGATATGTTTTTCCAGGGATGCATAGGTAACTAAACTAGGTTCAATAGAAAACTAGTTCGCAACTGGACCGAGAATCGATAACAGGTTGCTCCAGCGAACCATATAAGACTAAAAACATGCTGAACTAAACAAACCTATAAGATTTTGTATTAATAATAATTAAAGAAATTATCAGTATGGATATGAAAGATGAAGACCAAGACCAAGAGCAACACGCGGAGATTACTCTGAGCAGCTGTCCAGGTACCACGCCCGCGACACCGTTGAGCAAAAATCAGCTGAAAAAACAACGAAAGCACGCCGAGATGCTGGAGTTACGAAAACTTCGACGAATAAAGGAGCGCGAGCGTCGAAAAGAGAAGCGAATGGAGGCTAAGGCCAAAGGGCTGCCAGTTAATGTGGGTCCTTCTCGTAAAGAGTTGAAACGCCGCCAACTAACGGCAATCGACAAACAAAGCAGTCCTGATACAATCAGCGTGGCCATCGACTTGGATTATGACGATCTGATGCAGGAGCGAGATGTGGCCAAGTGTGTGAAGCAGTGTCTACGCATCTATACGATTAATCGGCGTGCTTCCCAGCCGCTGCGTCTGCACTTTACAGGCATTAAGAGTGAGGGTCACATCCACGAATGCTTCAAGAAGAACGACGGCTGGGAAAACTGGCATGTTGACTACCACTTCGATCGCACGCACACTGAACTCTTTGATAAGCAGAAAATGGTATATTTGACCTGCGAATCGGACACGGTACTGGAGAAGTTGCAGCCGGGACACACGTATGTCATTGGCGGCTTGGTCGATCACAATCACTTTAAAGGTCTTTGTCACCAGCGTGCAACAAGTGCGGGACTTCTCACAGCTCGCCTACCTCTCAGCGAACACGTAGACATGAAGACACGCTCCGTGCTGAGCACCTTTCACGTCTTTGAGCTCCTGACTCGCGTGGCAGCCAACCAGGGATGGACGCAGGCAATTTTGGAGACTATACCGCAGCGTAAGGGTGCCAAAGCTAAGGAGACTAGCAGAGGCATGCAACTCATGCAAACGGATGGGCAAGAAAATGGCAATCACAAGGAGAACGGGCAAGATAAAGTTGAAAGATCGAATGTGGAGACAAATGAGCTTGGAGAGAAATTAATGACGAGTTGACCCTTGTATTGAAGAATATTCCTATTTTGATACGAGAGTACGAAAGCTAGACTTGGAATCCTTTTAAAATGATGAGGTTCTCAAGTTTACATTTGATTGTGTGTGTATGTGTTTATGCTGGATATTTTCCAGTCGGTCCCACTTATTGTTTGTAAATAAAGATGGACATTGAAAGAAATTAATATTTATTACGATTATTATAAATTGTAAATAAAAATCTTAAAATAAAGATTGAAGATTGAAACGTTTGTTATTGTTATTCCTTTAAACAAAAATGTATTACTTGCACTTAAAGCTAAACGAAATATTGTGAATTGCTCGATTAGTTCATATAAAAAGGTAAATTGTTAAAATGTTGCACCTTCAAATAACTTAATTAACTATACATATGTATATATGTCTATTGCTTCCTAAACTATTTGAAGCAGCTGCTCAAAACTCTTCATACATATATATTTATATATATCTGCTAAGTGTAGTCGATTTTAAATTTTACATAAGGCAGCATTATTTTTGCATTTACTTAAATTACAAAAATATAGTCATTTCATTATATATATATTTATATTTTTTTTTAGCATTTCACTGCTTTCTGAACTTAGCCTAGGTTTATTAATAATTCTACCTCAGAAGTAAGCTGGCACAAACATAATTTTGAAACTCGATTTTTTTCAAAAAAGATTTCCCAAGAAAAGTTAAAGCATTTTGCAAACCAATTGAACCTTAACACTAACATTAAACTAAACAACAAATGTTCCTTAAACTAGCATACGAATCAGTACGAATCTTAAGATTAGGATCAATTACACAGGCCAACAAGATTTGGTAACCAAGAATCAGACTAGACTTAAGTAAAGGTCTTAGCATTCAGTGAATCGAATCATCTGATAACTATATGTCAAAAAATAAACAGGGTTTGAAAAATTGAAACGGGAGTCAAGAGGAGACAAAGAGTACTTCCAGTTATTATAATATGGTAATCAATACTTGAATTTTAGCATGTGCAAGTCTGAGCTATCCTTACATTAGTTTCGGTGCAGCATATATATTCTCATTCTTGGTTGGCCTGTGTTATTAGTAGGCACAAAGTTTTTTTTTAAAAAAAGGGCTTATCAACTAGTTGCCGAATGAACAAAAAATCCTGCTTTATAAATGCAATATGCAGCTAGAAAAACTAATCTATACATATAACTATATATATACTGTATATATATAAAATAAAGTTCAGTTAGGGTGCGCTCTCTAGTAGTAGGTTCCCTAAACAATTTTCATAGGCACATCGATAAGGCAGTCTGCTTCGAGGCGTCCAAGTGTTTTCTTAACACGCAACGCCGTTAAACGCACCGTTGGATTCGGGTGCCAGCATTCCTGCATAATCTTCGCGACGCTGGCTAGCACATCATCCTCCTGCCAGCGCATGGGTATGGGCGGTCGATAGCCCTTAACGCAGACAACGGCATGCATATCATCAAATGTGGGATCTGAAGGCACCACATCATGATATGGCAAGGCATAATCCTCGCAAGAGGTTGTCTTTGTGCCCGATATAGGCGTATAGCAACGTCTAGCAATTTCCCAGAGAACAAGACCCACAGAGTACATGTCAGCACGTTTGAATTCCTCGAATTGTTGTGGATTCAGCGTCTGATCAAGAACCTCTGGCGCCATGTAGCGACGTGTACCGACGCGCGTATTCTGTGCAATGTGTATCTCATCTAGTTCCGAGATGTACTTAACAGCCAATCCAAAATCAGCAATAGCGCATTGTCCATTCCGCTTCACCAATATATTCTTGCTTTTGATATCGCGATGGGCTATGGCCGGTTTACCCGGTGTGCCAAAGATTTCGTCGTGCAAATGTGCCAAGCCAGATGCCAGGGAGTAGGCGAGCAGCTGAAGCTTTTGTGGATTGATCACCGATGTGGAGAGATAATCGTGTAGACTGCCCATTTCGTGGTAGTCGGTGATCAATAACATCTGTGTCCAGCTGCCATTTCCCTTGATATCAGCTGCAATGAATCCCAAAATATTCTCGTGTCGCATTAGCACAGTTTGATAAATTTCCGTTTCACGAAACCAGGACGCCTCCTCGGTGGTGAAGAAGGTCTTTACAGCGACTCGTTCATCACGCCATTTGGCCAGCCACACCTCTCCGTAGCGTCCCTTGCCAACGAGGCGCACCATTTGAATCTGCTTGGCAATGGTGCGTTGCACTAGGAGCGGCAGACCTGAACCTGAACCTGAGCTTTGTTCGACCAACTGCGATATCTGAGAGTTGCACATGGAGTTGATCAAACGTGGTTGCTTTCGCAGCTTGCTGCGACGCTTGAAGACCACGCACAGTACGACGAATAACACAATAAATACGCAGACGATCACAATGATGGCCAGTACTACATGAATTGATGGTTGGCTGACGGGCAGTTCGGGTGGTGGGGTCGTCAGCTTAGGCATGAAATCTGGCTGCAGCTCACGATTGCACAAGTCCTTCTCGTCACAGCAGGCAATGTTCTTGCCATGTAAATAGGGCATAACTGATACTTTGCACATTAACAATCCGCCATTATCCTCGGGAGGCATGCAGCCAAAGGTGCGCTCCTCCTCATATGTGCCCGTTGTCTCATCGTATACCTCTTCGACGGCGCTGAAACAACTGCCACCTGGTCGTGTCTCGCAGGTACCGTTGCTTACATTGTTCGGGCAGCTACCATCGCAATAGCAAATCATCGAACGTGCATTTTTACGCTTATCGTGATTTGCTGTGATTGCAGCTGCAATTGCTGGTTCAACTACTGCAATCTCTTCGTACGCGCGAAATTCAGCATTTTGTATTTGTACAATTAACACAAAAACAGAACAAACTAACGAAACACTTCCCTTGCACATTATTAATGATATAACTTGTGCACAGGAAAACAGATTTTTTATTTTCGTTTATTAGCTTCTTATCTAGAGATGTACGTAAAAAGAACTATCGAAGCACTGATATATCGATGTTTCTGGTGTACATTCCATATTTAATAAGGATGACATCAAAGTTTTTTATATAATGCTTATCGCCATATTATTACAATTATTAGTAATACATTCATTTGAATTTCAAATATATAAGATTATTCAGTCATCTTATATACAATTGAAAACTACAAATAAAAACTTTATACACAAAAGTTCACTGATCTAGTAGCGCTCGTGCATCACTTTCCAACACTGAAGGCACATAATGTTTAGACTCCTGGGTTCTCAACTCCAATACAATGTAAGAATATTTGAACGCAAAATGGCTTTCTACGCAGTTGCAAAGGGTCGAAAAGTTGGCATATATGATAGCTGGACGCAATGTGAGCAACAGGTGAAAGGCTTCAAAGGTGCCCTTTTCAAGAAATTTGTGTGCCGCCAAGATGCCGAGGAATTCATAAATCTCTCTGGAGCTAAGGGAACCTACGCTCCACATGAAGTAGCTGTAGCACTTGGACAAAAGGAACGTCCGCCTGCCAGTTGGCAGCCGCAGATGCAGCAGCAGCAGCAGCATGTAGTTGAGGGAAAAGATTACTGGCCCGAAGATGTTGAGGAAATACAGGGAGTCACAGATGATGATTTGGTAACTCGAAATTGCAATATTAATTGTAGTTAGATGCTTATCTGTTGTCGCATTAGTTGATGGCCATTAATGAGGTGGAAGGATTTCCTGAACAGTCAGGAAACAATCGGAAACGTAAAGCTGAAAGCAGCTGTGCTGCACAATCGAAGATTCCACGACTCGTCTCCAATGTGGAAGAGGTCGTCGCACTGAAACAATTCGGAGCCTTTGAGTTCACGTTGAATCCCGAAGGATATGTGATTGTCTACACAGATGGCTCATGTCTAGGCAATGGTAAAAAGCATGCATGTGCCGGCTTTGGTGTTTACTTTGGTGATAATCATCCACTGTGAGTACCTCATATTCAAAAGAACATACTTTATTTACCTAAGATCTCGAATCACTTTTACAGAAACGCTGCAAAACCTGTGCTGGGGCGTGTAACCAACAACGTGGGCGAAATTCAGGCAGCAATATACGCTATTAAAACCGCCTTGGACTTGGGCATCAAAAAGCTAAGCATTAGTACAGATTCACAGTTCCTGATCAATTCGATAACAAAATGGGTGCCCGGCTGGAAGAGACGTGGTTGGCTCCTACCAAATATGACACCTGTTAAAAATGTAGCTGACTTCAAAGAATTGGATGAGCTATTGCAAAATGAAGATATTCGAGTTAAATGGGTGAGTTTTTCTTTAAATTGTATTATGCCTAATTTATAGCTCATTTCTTTCTTCAAGAACTACGTTGAGGCACACAATGGCATCAAGGGAAATGAAATGGCAGATAAACTAGCACGACAAGGCTCGCAATTATACAGAGAGTTGAATCGCACAGACATTTAGTTTATATTAAACTAATTTTAAAATATATTTAACTACGCAAGTAGTGTTTGCATTAAGATGATTGTTATGAAAAAAAAAAATTGAAAATGAAGTGAAGATAATTACCAAAAATACGAGATTTTTGGTATTTTAGGTTACGCGCTTAATTTCTGCCTTAAGTTGGCAGCCCAATTAAATTGACAGTTCGCCTTAAAACAAGTTTGCAGTCTTATTGACTTTTCGTTTGTCAACACTAACAACAAAATTTATTAAGGTAAACAAAATGAAGTGTTTAACAAATCCAGCAATTTTAATATTAATATTCATTGCTGCACTGTCGGTGAACAGCATAAACTGCCATGCGCTGCATCAAGGCGTTATGCGCATTGAAATGGACCCAGTGGGCATGCATAGGTTTGCTATAAACAAAAATGTATTTAAACATAAAATACAAATCGAATTACCTAAACAGAAAGCTCAAGTACACCATAGAGTTCACTGAGGCAATAAGGAACTTAAATTGTGAATATGTGATCGCGCAACAGTTGCCGGCGGCCGTTTACATTAGCACCGACGAGCTGGACGATTTGCAGCGTTTGAAAATGGTGAGCCCACAATACCCTGTGTCAATGGGAAATAAAGACCTGACTATGTTATGCATAAGCTTATCAACTACTACTAAACGATACCCTGCAATAATTGCTGGTAGGGTATAGACGTGTGCATGAAGAAATAGCCTTGGTCGTTATCTCAACTTCTTTAAACTAATTAAGTAAAATTAATTTCTCAACTTAATAGCTGAATGCGAAGTATCCAAAATTCGTAGACATTGAAATTATAACTGAAAAAGCGAAACCCTTCTCAGTACTTCTACGTGGATCAACAAAGATTAAAGATCCCATACAACTGCCCATTCATTTTCGTTATCATGCAGCGAGTCGTACAACGTAAGACACCACTATCAATAATCACCTATACATGTACTCTATACATATGTATACATATATACCTATTACAGCACCTTGGCCAAGGTAAAACTAGACTCACCTGAACTTTATATAAGCTGTACGAACGACGATAAGCAACTCATTGACAAGGCATTACTGGATGAATATGATAAGTTTTACTGCCTAGACGAAAGCTCAACTGATTTTGTGGAACAGTCTGAAATGGAGAAATGTAATTGGCAACGATTACGTATGGAATTGAGAATAGATAAACCACTGATAGCTGAGATACCTGTAGGCGATGCCAATGGCTATATTCCAGTTCTTTGTGCCACACTCATCATAAGTTGGGGAGCTACGGTTTGGATCATGCTGACCACTCGAAAAGCATGCAAACGCATTAATAAACAACTTGCTGAGGAAGAACTGCAGGAGGAAAAGCTTGAGTAATGCCATAAAGGATCGAGAATTTATATGTATTTAGAACTCTCGTGTGATAAATGCCGCCAGACTAGACTTATGATACTATAACTTAATTTGTTGACACTTGTAAATATTGTCGTTGAGATAAATGCCTGAAAACTTACGACTTACGACTTTCAACTGGCGATTCGCTGGGACAAATGTCATTGGTATTTGCGAGGGTTGACTGAAAGTTACGTGACATTATCTCTAGCTAGTTAATCCTCGCTCGTGCCTATGGAATTTGTTACTGGAAATTGAAGGTTGAAGTTAGTTAAAGAACAACAAATGATTATGAATCGTTAATACATTACACAATTTCATTTTCTTATTGTAATAACCTGTCCTACCCTCGTATAGTCATATATTCTGATTTACTATTGTCATGTTTAGAGCCCGTGTCATAAAAGTAAATTACACCTTTGTTTAAGCCATGTTATTAGGGCCTCAATATGTTCAAAAAGGTTTATGAGTAAAGCATGACTATTTTATACCTCATGGAAGTCGGGAGCAGAGTCGGAAGTACAAAAACATCTATGTACATATATTTATTTATCTTATCAACATACTTAGTCGGAAGAAACTTTTTTAGGCCAGAAGACATCTTATCTATTTTTTATTATATCTATAAAACTTATTATAATATTAATTTAGTGTATGCTAGACTTAGGCTAGGTCTATATTAGAAAAATATATATACACGCAAAAACTCTAGATCAACTAAATTTAAAATCGATCTTCTTTGCTTTCTTTTGGAGCAAAGGTGTTTGAATCAATCTGCAGATTGTTTCGCAATGTTCTTGTGCTGGACGTGTTGGACGGTTCGTTCCATGGCTGAACCGTAGCCTTGCCAAAGATTACGAATATCGTGTTGCACAACAGATAGACGCCGCCGGTGATAAAGAATACCATACGCCATTGAATAGGATCCTTTTCGTTGGATACTATGGCACCCACAACCAATGGAGCTACGATTGATGTGACTCCAGCCAAGCCATTCGTAACACCCATCATAGGACCCGCAAAGTTCGGCGACAAGTCCATATGATTCACGAGGTAGCCACAGAAGCAGGCGGCATTGATGCCTACGGCGAAGGTGAGCAGCACGATGGCCTGCGTCTTCTCATCAGCTGACATATAGCCAAGCCCAATCAGGCAACCCATCGGCACCCACTGACCTATTGAGTTGAACAGTTTACGAGATGTCGTCACCGTCAGGGTACCGCGATTGATAAGCAAATCCGAAATCGGGCTAACCACAAAGCAGAGTATGCCCATGGCAAAGTAGGGCAACGATGAGAGCAAAGCATTCGACTTTACGTTCAATTGAAGAACGTTGCTCATATAGGTGGGAATCTCCGTTAAGAGTGTGTAGAAGCCCCAGGTGAAGCCGCAATGAGCAGCCAGCAGGCCATAGAAGGCCGACGATCTGAAGATTGATTTCCATGGAATATCGAGGGACTGAAAATAAAAATTAATAAATGATAAGTAAGTATATAAATATGAGTAGGCGAGCATACAAGCCGAGCAATTATGAATGTAAGAGTATATTCTTATCAAGTACACTCACCTCTCCTGTGTTATTGCTGCCTGTTAGACTCTCAATGTATTCCCGCTCGATTTTGCTAATGTTCTTCGATGTGGCCGGCTCATTGGCGCCCTGCCAAAAAAAAACCAGCGCCCAGGACACGCTTAACCCGCCCGATACATAGAACAAACCCGGCCAGCCCATTGAGGACTCGAATATATTGCCACTGCTAACCAAAATGACAGCCGTGCCGAATTGGGCGCCCGAATAGATGCCTGTGGTAAGAAAGCCACGCTCCGTTCGTGGTACCCACTTGGAGAGCAGCGTGTGCACACATGGGTAGACACTGCCCTGGACGACGCCAGTTAGCACGCGCAGCACGCAGATGGAGATCCAGCCACCTGTCGCGGCCATCGGATGAAAGAAGCACAAGACTCCGCCAACAGCCGTTGACAACGTAATCACATATTTGGCGCCAAACCGTTTGGCCAACAGACCTGCAAGATAAATAAATAAACTTAACTGAGTGGCAACGAAGGTCTAGTCAACTATGTGGCAGCGCTAATTGTCCAACATTGCAAATTATGGTTCTTATTGCAGAAATTCCTATTGAGTTTCTGGCAACGCAAAATGCAGAACGCGTTTTATACCCTCTGGCAATCTTAATGGTGCGAATGGCTGACAACTAAAATAACGGTTATTATTAAATGAAGCGAATCTTAATAATGATTGCGGGGTAGTTTGCAAGTTGCATACAGTTGCACTCACCTGACGGCACCTGGGACACCACATAGCCCCAAAAGAAGCTGCTCAGTATTAGCGACTTGTCGGACGTATTCCAACTGTAATAAGGAGCACCAGCTGTTGGCTGTGTCATTGGCACAATGGCGGCCGAGATGTTCACACGCTGGAAGTAGTTGATCATCATGCCCAAAAATAAGAGAATGGCTTGCAAATGGCGAGCGCCAAAGTTGCTGGCTAAAAGAATCAATGATAAGATGCTTGTCATTAGTTATTGCTCATAGGTGATTGATCATTTGTCGACCATTAGTCATTGATCAATGGTTACCAGCTAAATCTCTTAGCTGAGCTCCCATTAAGAGTGGAGTCCTCTCGTTGCTGTGTAAGTAGACCATATTGTAGTCCTATGGGATGATTTCGATGCGGCTTTACTTATTGACTATTCGATGAACTATGCCAATATTTAATATTCAGTTATTGTTCTACTAAATCCTAGGCTTTATTTTTGCACGCATTTAAATTGCATTTCAAGCGCGCTCTGATAGTAAGCGCGACGCTCAACGGCTTTTATAATTAACAACTATTGTGTCATTATCATTACCATTATCATTAACGCAAGTCAATGCAAATGCAATAAAAAGCGAACACAAAAAGCTGATGGAAAATTTAACACGCACAGTGGCGTAGGCGAAAGGGAAGTCAATCAAAAATTGTAACTCTCTGAAATGTATGTACATACATACATATAGGACATATCAGATATATAAAATAAACAAAGATAATCACAGAGAAAATGTTATTATTTGAACAAGAATCACTTATCTTTTCACTATCATATATATATATATATATATATATATGTATATATATATTATTACTCCTAGATAGATATTTGATTGATTGATTGATATTTGAGTTGAGTTAGAGCAAGTCTGGCTAGACAAATATCTAAAAGTAATTTTTCTTTTTTATTTATATTTTCCACTAAGCAGCATGGCATGGCATCGAGCAGATTAGCTGGGTTTGAAAATGGTTTTAGGCATCAGCTTAGTTACGTCACCGAACGAATTAGCGCTGAGCATTTGCAGTTGTTTTACAATAAGTTACTGTAAGCCATTTGACTTGAGCATGTGGTGGGCTTAGTTTTCTTAACCCTGAACCCATTTTCAATGGGAAATCAGGGTATAATGATTTTACTAAAAGTATGTAACAGGGAGAAGGAGGTGTGCAAGACCCCATTAAGAATATATATTCTTGATCAGAGCAACGAGTTCAGTCGATTGAACACTGTCCGTCTGTCTGTACACCCGTCCGTCCATACATGAGCAAGTGATTGCAATTTTTTAAAATAATAAAGTATCTCTTAGGGTTAGAGTCTTCAAATTCTAAATATTTGTTTTAATTCACCAAAAATAGGCAGTTTCCCGAATGGTTCAGGGGATCTTGTAGTCGAGCAGTCTCTACTATAACTTTCTTTCTTGTTTAATTTTAAGAGGCCATTTCGCGAGCCCATTTATTATAAAGGTACATTCAATTAAAAAAAAAAAATCAATATTCAATTTCCGATGACTTATTAACGGTTCAAGCAATGCATTGGCAGCCATAATAGGTACCTCGGCCTTGCTTTCGAGATCATCTTTGATGTACTAGTAAAACACCGGTGTGAATAAATGAAATATAATTTGTGAAAAAAAACTCGGGTTAAACACGGGTTATTACTAAGCTTTTTCATATATGGGTCTATATATTTGCTTATCAACTGAGAAGCTGCAAAAGCAAAATATTATACAAGTATAAGAGTGTCAGGGTATAATGCAAGTATAAGAGACTCGTTCTGCTTATGCGTACGTATGACTTATATAAGTAGCGACAAGTAGCGATATATAATAGGCTTTGAACATATATGGGTCTAAGTGTAAGAGAGACTGTTAGGATCGACAGATGCTCATCGGTATAAGAGTTCAAGAATAACTGAAGCAAATGACTACAAAAATGGTAATCAAGCTTTAATTTTGACACGACATTGATTAAATCGATTACTGATATTTCCATGGAAATATCAGATGAGTTATATAAAATGACATCTGATTAGTAAGTAAGAGTATCCCCTGGTCAAGTAGTAACGTCTTTAGCATTTTAAAAAAATATAAACAGATAATTGATACGTACGAATTGTTCCGCATTATGTTCACTTATGACTAGACGAACTCAAGTTCTTCAGACTGCAGGGCGAATCAATAACCTCTTCCAGCTGATTACAAACGGATTTTGTTTTCTAAGAGTGCTCAATGAACTGGTGTTTTCTTATGCATTGCTGATTTTTTCCTACTTATATGAAACACATTTTACACTTTATCTAATCAATAGAAGATTAGTTAAAGATTCGCCTTTCAATTTGAATCCCTTTTTAATGACATTCCATTGACAAAATTCAACTTACGCTTTGTGCACTTGTCCGTCGTTGGTTCGTAGCTCATGTTTTCAGAAAAATATTTAACTAGAACTTCACGTCGTTTCTGTTCGACTGAAACATGAATTGGCTTCACCTGTGCCTTTTATACGGCCGCCAAGAATTCATTTCCACTCTGATTATCTGCGAATGCCCGATTTGAGATAGCAGCTGGGTCCGTGTTTAACTTTAGTCATTATCTTGACTATTAAATCATAAAGCAGACACACAAATAATTGCGATTTATCTTATTACTAATTGCAATTTAAATATATTACTTTGGTTTATTATGTGTCAAAGATATAAGCATTGACATAAACAAGTTTTATATCCTTATTCATTTATGTTTTAACCGCTAATTCGCTTATCAATTATTTTCACTTATATTTACTGCAGCTCATATTTTATTATTTGTAATGTTTTATCTTATCTAAATCAAATTTAAGCTGGATTCCCTGCTGGAAGTGTGTAATTTACTAATTGAAATTTCCGTAGAAATCTGTCATTAAACCTAAACCTTAACATCCAGAAAAATTCTGAGTAAACTAAAAAAATAAAACCAAAGGAAGTGCAACGCATTTATTGTTTTATCTCATACTGATAAATAGCCGCATTAAGTTTTTTTTTTAGTGAAGAAACTATGAGGGTAAATATTCATCTCTCATTTGAATTCGCTGTTGGAAACGCGCCATGAATTTGAAAAGTTTAACAACACACTTCATGCACACACGCTATCCAGCACTAAGAATTGATGGAAGGAAGTTCAATACACTCACACTGCCTCCATTTTCTTTTCGTTTTCTCTTGTACTTCGTTAGGCTGCTTCTTCATAACGAACGCCAAAGTGCGTAAGTGACACAAATTGCGTAGGGTTTGTTCAAATCAACTTGACTTTATATAATAGTACTTATAGATATAACTCTCAACTGATATTTTGTATATTGTCTGTTATATTTTTTGTATATTTGAATTTGCGCCATTCTTATGAAAGCTCTGCCAACACTCCGCACACATTATCCAGCACTCGCTAGCAATTGAAGTGTCCACAGACATTGCCAAACACTGTTTTATTATTTTGTTTTGTGTTACATTTTGTAAAAAATGTCGACCCGTTTATCGTTTGGCGATGATGATGCCGGCACGAATAATGTGCCCCGCATCATGACCTTCCGTCCCAGCTATGAGGAGTTTGTCAATTTCGCCGAGTACGTCGAATACATGGAATCACGTGGAGCACATAAGGCTGGCTTGGTCAAAATAATTCCGCCCGTAGAGTGGAAGCCGCGTCGCTCAGGCTATGATATTGAGAATATAAATATGACAATACCAGCCCCAATTTGCCAGGTGGTAACAGGGTGAGTGAGCGTGGAGAACGTAAGGCGTAGTGTTCTTCAACTTTTTTGTTCTGTTTGTAGGGCTCATGGACTTTATCAGCAAATAAATATACAGCAGCGTCGCCAGATGACACTTAGACAATTCATGGAGAAGGCCAACTCGGAGCTACACCAAACACCAAAGCACTTCGACTACGATGATCTAGAACGCAAGTACTGGAAGAATATCACATATATATCACCGCTATACGCAGCCGATGTAAAGGGCACATTGAGCGATGAAGATTTGGATGTTTGGAACATCGGGAGATTGGACACCATATTAAATCTGGTCAATACAGATTATGGCATTGAAATCGACGGTGTCAATACGGCATATCTGTATTTCGGCATGTGGAAGAGTTCCTTTGCCTGGCACACTGAAGACATGGATCTATATTCGATCAACTATTTGCATTTTGGCGCACCGAAAACTTGGTATGCAATACCTCCACGCTACGGCAGACGCTTGGAGAAGTTGGCGAATGAAACCTTCGTGGAGAACTTCCAGGAATGTAACGCCTACTTGCGCCATAAGATGACCATGATCAGTCCCAAAGTCTTGCGCCAACATAACATACCCTATAATAAGATTACTCAAGAGGCTGGGGAGATTATGATAACATTTCCCTTTGGTTACCATGCTGGTTTTAATCATGGCTTCAATGGTGCAGAGTCCACGAATTTCGCCTCCAAACGCTGGATTGAGTATGGCAAGCGGGCAAGCATCTGCAAGTGTCGTAGCGACATGGTTAAAATATCGATGGAAACATTTGTCCGGCGCTTTCAACCTGAGCGTTATGATAACTGGCTGAAGGGCGAGGATTACGGCTGTCATCCAGAGGAGCCCGGCAAGATCTGTGCCGCAGCCCCACCCACCATCAATGAATATAAAATCATTGAGGAGAGGTGAGATCTCGAAACTGTTGTAATTCTTAAATAAAACCAAATCACTTTCCCTTTAGCTCCCAGGCGCCCAAAGCAAAACACGTGCATCAACAGAAGCGCGGCTGCTCCTTGGCCGATGTGAATGGCAATGCGGATGTGGAGGTGCCCGCCGAGGAGGAGGAGGATAAGATCAGTGTCAGCAGTCGAAGCAGCGGCTCCAACTTAAAACAAGCTGTGGTCAAGCTACGTAAGCTGCCCTCAACCTTGACTGATGCCCAACCCTCAACGCCAGCGTTGCCCAAAGAGAAGTATGACTTCAATTCGGTCGCCGTGGTGCGTGTTAAGCGGCTGTGGAACGCTCTGCCGTGTGAGAAGCCAGGCACTAATCTTCTCCCGAATGGCATTGTGAAGAATACGAAACGAATGCGTTTCCAGACTAAGGTGTTGACGCTAGACGACGAGGATTAGCAGGAAGAATTTCCAAATGAAGGCACAAATGGAGAATACTTTTTAAGTGGCAGTCTCTGCAAGGCTGTATAATTTTAAACCAAGCATGCGAACTATTACTAACTGCTGTTCAAGCAACATAGCACCATTTTACTTTAAAAGCTTTGAGGATCTCCATTGTTGATAGTTTTATAAGCAAGCCACAATCAAAGAAATACATAAACATAACCTACCTATAATACTAGTCTAAGGAATAGACGTGTACCTAACAATATAGTTTTGAATAATAAACTACGCTACGAAAGCATGAACATCAAAGATATACGTATGCATGTACATCTAACTGGCCATTGAAACGTATGAAATAGACGTGCCTCTGAATAAGAGTGTTATATCCACAGTCCACAGAGTGTATCGATACTTAGGCTTATATTGATTATGATTCCATTAATCTTTTTTTTTATATATATATTTGCCCTTCTGAATAATTCAGTTATTTAATGTTTACACATTTAAGTATGTTTTATTTTTTATTTAATTTGCAACACGCCGATCGTCAAAAGTTTTGTTGCATTTGCCGATTTATATAGTTAAATAAAAAAAACAGGAATTATTAAATTAAAAAACAGTTCAATAGGTACCCAAAAACTTCACGATATCACTAAAAAGAGGAGGAGATGGGGCCTAAATACCTGCTTTTATATTTTCTTTCGATTTTAGAACTTAACATTTGTCTCTCCGTAAAATATATATTTAAAAATGTATGTATGCAAGAATTAATGTATGTTTGAGTTTGTGAAAGACATAAAAACGTAATGAACTAAAAGTAAAACTCATTAATTATTATGTATATAGCTGAATAAATTGAAGAGCTGCAAGCATTTTTTATCTGTGCTTGCACATTTCTATAAATGTTTGGATTTTTTTCCTTTACACAATTGAAGAAGAAATATGGGGTAAGTGGGGCGGCGGGGCATATTCGCAAAATTCAAAAGTCTTAGAATGATTCTATATATTCAGTGTGACATGAAACGCATTCTAAATGCGTGAATCGATGAGTGAAGTCTATGGAAGGGGGAAAGATCTTGGGAAATATTGGCAGGCTTCTCTAATCGATATCTCCGACTTGGATATCTTTTACTAGTGTGGGGCTGGCAAAATATATATATATATAATTTTGGAACGACTATATATATATATATACATATATATAGAATTATAAATATATATAAGATGAGCTTAGGCTAGATAGCTATAGGTGTCTTTCGCTCCCTCCATACGTTCCAGATACTCCTTCTCAATCAGTATATCAATGCACTTCTTAATAACGGGCACATTCGGCTTAAATCGCGTCGACAGCTGGTTGAGCACCTCGGATATAAGATTTGTATGGTTGAGACGCTTGCGCATTTTCATGATTCGTACGATCGCAGCTTGAATCAAGAGTTTCCGATCCTCCTCAATGTGTTTGGTGACAGTCTCCTGCTCCACTTTCAACTCAGTCTTCAATGGATGATTGATATTGATGCGACGCTTCTTGCTCTTATAATCCAAATACAATTCGACTGTTGAGTCGGGTGTCAAGCCATTTTCGCTGGCGTCTGACGTCAGCAGTTTGGCCTTGAGCAGTATTTGCAGTACCTAAAAAGAGGAACAAATTAATACACGTACATATTATATAGGAACTACTTCCTCCGGTCAACTCTCATACTCTACCTGTATCAAGTTCTCCAGCTGAGATTGCGTGTTGTCGCATAGCTGCTGCACTGTGAAACTTAGCTGATCATTGAATTGCAACAGCACCGACATTTGGAACGTGCTCACTTGGAGAGTATAGACCGAATTGCTGCGGCTCACATTCATTATCAGTTCACCCTTACATTTGTGATATAGCCAGTTTAATTTGCGACCCGAATGTCGTGCCGAATAGAATATGGTAAACTGTTGCACCGATCGCTCCAATTCCGAGGGCAATAGAAAGTTGTTATTTTGCGTGAAGGGCCATGCGTTGGTCGACAGCACCTCGATGCCAAAATCGATTTCCGATGTTATATTTTGTGTCTTCAGGTACTCCTTGAAATAGGCATTCAAGTCTTTGGACAAGCCAATGTCCTGGAACATGCGCTGCAGCTTCACGGTGTATTCATAGCCGCATGTCTGCTTCAGTTTGGAGATCATCATTGCCTCAGCATCGTCCGATGCCGACGAGTGGCTGACTAACCGCTTTGCCAGCATATTTGAATAGTACTTCTGGAAGACATCCTTATCCTCGATATATTTGAAGACGACCATCACCTGATTTAGATTATCCTCTAGCTCCTTATCCTCAGGGTTCTTCGATGACTTCTTGAGCAATAGATCGCAATACTTGGCCAACAGCTCGGGCGATTTGCCAGCATTATTTGGCTTTGTCACCACATTTGAGTTAATGAATTTTCCGCACGCCTTGTCCAACGACGCAACAAACCCGTTGTTATTGTCAAATGCCGTTAGGACGAGCGCATTATACTTTTTGTGTGTATCGAGTATGGTTTGTACATAAGTCTTCGGATCGTTGGCCGCATCGCTTGTGCAACACTTCTCAATTGCTTCTGTGCCCTGCTGCAATATGTGATCTTCCAGTATTTTCTTCAATTGCTCCAAATTTTTCGCCGACAACGAGACCAGAGAATACATTCGTTTCAGGTCATCATTTCTGTCGGCATTCAGTAGATTCTGGAACTCGGTGTGGAATAATCTCAAATGTTTATCAATCAGAACCTAATTAATAGAGGAAAAACATTATTAGTCTAAGCTAGGACGCGTCATCTAGGATAACATTATAAATTCCGTAAAGCAAATAATTGGGGGATCGTTATCAGGAATTTTAATATAAACATCTTCTAGGTTTCTTTCCCTCTTGAGTAAACTTTCGATTTATATAAACTATGCCCAAGTGATTCATTTAAAATGCTAATACTCATACTTAACACTATGCGACACACACCTGTTCACATGTGGATTTTAATATATCTGAAGTTGTCTCGTGCAGGTAGGAGAGAGCATTCTTTGACTCGGGACCTCGAACACGTTGCTTCTCCTCTTCAAGACGGTTCTCGACGTGTTTCATGTATTCGGTGACCGTGTTGGTGGATAGGAACGCATCCGATTCCTTCTCGTAGAAGGCGTACGTGTCGGCTATGAACTTCGCTTCGAAGTTGTCTTTATAGACCGATAACTTGCGCTCGGTGCCATCGCTGTCGTCCTCATTAAAGCTCAACTCCACATAGCACTCGATGACATCCCGGACGAGGGCACGATTGATTAACTTGCCATTTCGTTCCTCCTCAATGGATTTGAGTATCGCCTTGGTCACCGGCTCGTTGAGCACCTGAAAGAGATGACCCTTCCAGGCGACAAGAGCCAGTCGATAGATCTTATATATGCCCTTCTGTCCCTCCTCGCATTCACGCTTCACCCAATTACGATTGAGATAGTTGCAAATGCCATCTAAGACGGTGCTGGAAAACTGATACGATTTCCATTGTCGTGTATAGCGTGACAGTAGAACCTCTTCGCCCCTAATCGACTGAAAGGTGGTCAGCAGATCTTCCAAATAGTTCTTCAGGAAGATCTCCAAACGATCGTACAATTTCTTTCCCACCAACTGAGCGCCGCCAGCCTTACCGCTGCTGCGTCCACTCGGTGCGGCGCTGACGCTCGTGCAATAGTCATAGACGTGCGTATAGAAGCGCATATACTGTTTGCGCGTTAGCGATTTTTCATGCTCGAATATTTGCCGTATGCCCCCTTCCAGCTCGTTCCATATGTCATCCAAATTCACCAGACGCTGTGTAGTTTGAGAATTGCTCGATCGATTCATTTTGGCAGCCGATGGCAAATCTCGTTTGCCTTCCAACTGTTGTCGATGTTGCTGCTGTTGTTGTTGCTGCTGCTGTTGCTGTTGAATGACAACTGGCGCATGCGACTGGGAAGTGGATTGACTGTCCTGATTCCGTCGTTTGGCTGCTGATCTTGTCTTGGGTGTTTTGGTCGGAATTTTGGCAAATCAAGTGTTTACAATTTATGGGTGAGATATAAAATGTCTGTCTATATATAAATATATATATAAATCAATCTGCAAAAAAACGTAAAATTAGTTAACTAAAGTAGGCCAAGAACTTTTAATTAAAACAACAAATAAAAACACAATTGAAGAACTACTTTTGCATATCAACCTATAACAGCCACGCTCTACTCTGTAATTATGCCATTCTCTTATTTGTGTATTTGCATGTATGTAATTTCATAAACCAAATATAAATGTACAGCTGTAAATATATACTAACAAATCAAAACCTTACTTTAACTTCCAATCAATTGTTTACGAAAAGTTATTCAGCACATTAATGTGTATACTACATACCCGTTCTACTTTTTTTAAAGGGTATAGCGCATAACAGTATACAGTTATATGGATCCAGCGCTCGTGTGTGTGTGAGTTTCTGCATATATTGGGGCTTAAAGTTAAGCATGATACAAAAAATGTAATACGATATGGCAACTCCGAAACTTACAAATAACACAAAACAGTAAACAAAAATAATACTGAATACCCTTGCAACACATACATACGCATGCATGCACACATACACATGCACGCACACACCCAAGCATGCATTTTAGTATGCAAGAAAAAGTGGTATTTGTATGCATGTGTCAGTGTGAATAGGCATAATTTAACTTCCTGTTAAAATAAACATACACACGCACGAGCTCACACATAGTTACACATACACTCACACAATGTGTGCATAAATGGTCCAATAAAACATGTTTTATTACAGCAGCCTTAACACAAATCTTTATTTATATGATGATTTTCAGCGCAAATGATTTGGATAAATTAGCTATCTAGCATTTTTCACTGTCATTTCATCATTGACGTCGTGATTTCCCTTTTGCAGCACACACACGTACTTTTTCTTCATCTTTTGTTCGCCATTTTCACAGGCACACATACACAATTTGCTAATTTGTTGAGTCTAACGATTTCCATTAATTTACCTTCTTTCAGTTGTTTAATGCTACGCTTGTATTATTTTTCTTATTTTATTTGCAATGCTTTTAATTTTAATTTAACTAAATTGACGAATTTTTACCGTTTCTACAAATCACTTTTTCCAACTAAGAAAAGCTGCGTGCTGCCAGACTGTGCCAAGCATTGCAAAGTACATGCTAGCACTGTGGCATCACTGTAAGCGAGCAAGTTGGCTGCACCGCGAGAATGAATCGATAGACAAGTTTGCAGGCCCTGCCCTATCGATATTTTTTAATACGAAATTTGTGAAGCCCTAGTCAGTGTAAATAAATAAGCAAATCAAATAAAAACAGATAGATTATCAACATTTTGTGTACGTCAGAAATATCTGCGGTCTGGATTATATTCCTTGCCTAAATTTAATTAGGAATACTAATAGATGGAGTATACAGTGCAATGTTGGCAGCTATGGTCAGCGGCTTTCTTGTTGACGTTGTTGCTTCTCCAAAGTGATGCGGCACCGGAAGCTCCCAAATCAGCGCCAACAACAGCAGCAATACCAAGTAACACCAATACCAATACTAGATTGTTAAGGACCGTTAAAAAGGATCAGGCACCAGTCTCTATATTGCCAGCGACACATGAATTGGGCGTGTCACACGCAACTGTCGAATCCTCTGCAGATAAAGTTGTCGTCATCAGTGAAAATCCACAGAAGTTAGGCAAATTGCCCGAAGAGGAGGTACACATTGAACGTTCAAGCAATGATTTTCCCGATGCATACGTCGCTGTCTTCTATGTTCTAGTGGGCATAACAAGCTCTGCCCTATTGCTGCTGATCGTACGCATTTATCGGTATGTATTAAGAGGCTCCCAGCACTGGTCAGTGCTCCCAGCTCAGCTGACAGGTACTGTAAAGCCGGCAACGCATACGATACTTTCGAGCCTTATTAAACAACTTTAAAAATCATCTCCAAGTATTATCCCTAGTATCACAGTTTATCTGTCTTTACCGTTAAATCTATATGATGTAATTGTAATCTGTTATCAGTTTATTAATTTGATTTATGTAAAAGCTACGCTTTAACCTCATGTAAACTCTTATTGATAACGTTATCTTTCCATTTCTAGTCTACGCTTATCTCGTGCTGAGCGCAAATACGGCGTGCAAGGCGATCGAGCCAATCAGGAGTTAACGCCGCTCCCAATGGCTATCGAGGATGTAAATAGCGATGAGGAGGAGGATCATACTCTATTCGAAGTTAATAGGCAGAGCATTCGTATATTATGAAAGCCATCACAATGATTCTCATTAAAAACCGGAAAATACAACAACTTGCCTTCTCAGTTGCTCAAGCAGTATCTATTATAATTGTAATTGTAACATGTGTGTTTGTTTTAGTGTATCGTAGTTACTAACAAGATGCCTAACAGTTAAAATTTGCCTTAAGATTTTCTCGTCGCATTTTTCTCAACAAAAAAAAAAAAAAAAACATTTGTGATACCAAAAGTTATATATATAAGGAGTTCGATAAAGGATAAAAAAAAAATATTCTACATACATATATGCAATAGTATATACAAATATGTATCTATATATATATACAGTTACAAAAGAAAAACGTTAAAAAATAAATGTGTGTATTTGAAAAATATTAAGTATTTTTTCCATTAATATTGCTTTATTTATCGATACACAAATTTACACTTTTTAGCTCAGACTTAAATCTAATACAATAAGCATACATATATGTATATATAATGGACGATTTTATAAAGTTCCTTCTGCACTTTTACAAAAAATCACTTACCACCTAAGATCACAAAAATAATTTATTAACAAATACTGCGACTGCACGGTGCCCCCCAAGAGTAATAGTAGTGTATTATTATAGTGAGGAGTAAACTAGAGCTAAATACTAGAAATTAGTTGTTATCTATTTTGTTTTGTGGAACTGCTTAATGCAAATCTATCGATTACTACGGCACTTCAATATTTTTGTAGTTTTTATAGACATATACGTTTATGCTAATGATCAGTTAGATTGGGCCGACAGGCTATATCATGCTGCCAAACATGCGTTTGCCGCGCGTTAATACCAAGCTGACAACCATAACGGTTAACAGAAAGAATACGAGACTTAGAAATGTTGTTATCAGGCGACATCTTTGGCGGAATTTCTTCTCCTTTTCCATTTTCAAGCGCAGCTGCTCGGCGCGCGGCAAGTCGAGCGTAAAGTCTGATTCGGGTCGAGACGATGGCTGCAATACAAATATATAGATATCAATTAAAAACATTTTATTTTCAAACCAGTCTGTTAATCTTAGACAGTGTCTTAGATCATTTAACATAAATGTTTTATGCTGTTAACATTAGTGCTGTGCCGTGTGCGTGTGACGTCACTAAGAAGTAATAGTTATGTTAGCTCTTTAATACAAATCGGTTGCACAAATGACAACATACATAGTAAAATTTACGAGAGTGTTTCGCTGTTAACATGATATGTTAACCCAAACGAATCGTGACGTCACTGATGCAAGAACCGTAAGTTATTGACCCAACTCCCACTCTTTCTCTCATTGTGCATTGTGTACAACGGTCTTGTTAATGCGATCATGAAAGCCAATGCGAGTGACGTCACTTAAACGTCTCGAGTACCTAGTGAACCTAAAATATCCATTACAGCTCTTATATAAGCTTAATTAGCTAATTAGCATTTGGCGTTGAAAACTTAACTCTTTTATGTAAATCGATTATGCACGAGTCAAAAAATGTATGTATGTGTGTGCGTATTGTTAGGTAGGGTCAGTCAACAGCAACGATTACGAAGATGAAGAAGGTGACCGCTGCTTGGTTAGCTGGTTAGCTGGCTGGCTAACTGACTCGCTCGCTGGCTGACGATTGGTTTGACATTGATGCCGTCGTTGATCTGAATTAAATATTTTTTTATATTTTAGGCTAAGGCCCTCTTGCTCCTACTCTGTTTGATTTATGTTTGTTAAGCATTTGAGCGCGGCTACAAATTGTTTAACATAAATCATAGCAAAAGTATTGCACATTTTATAAACACGTACATTTTTGCAATAGCTTCAAGGCGTGGCACAACACAGAGACTGAAAAAGGGCGCAACGCATACAAATTTGACCCACTAAGCGGACGCTGCCGCTGTTGTATTTTGCGCATCTTCGAGTTTTTTTTTCTGTTGCCAGTTTTAAATTTTTTTTTTAGCGACACAACCTTGAAAATTGTATGTATGCACACAGGCATGTGTATGTGTATATGGTACAATATTGTTAATGTAACAGGTTTCTTGATTCTCATGCAAAATGTTAAGTAATTGATGCAACCTCTTTAAATTATACATACTTTGACGACGAAATACTAAAATAAAATACTATACTTAGGCGGGAATAGTTTAATAGTCAACAACAAGAGACACTTTTTGCAACCGGATGTTAAATTGAAAGCGACAAGATTCTATAATAGCTCAATTATGATCGACAAAATTCCGCGGATATCCAATTTCAATAATATTGGCAAGTGAAAGTTTTGCGCATATGCAATATAGTCATTAAAAGGGCATTCAATTTTTGTTTGAGTGCTCACACACTAACACAAAGAGAGAGATACATGTACGGATTTGTAGGCGTGTGTGTAAGTGTTGTTCAATTCGCATTTTTGCACTTCGTTGTGTGTGATTTTTTATTTATTTACTTTTTTTTTGTGTGTGTGTGTGCTGTTGCCATTGCGCACATTGTCTTCGGTTCGTATTTTCGAAGATCAAAATCTCGCGTTTCGTGCCCGATTATTACGTTCGCTATCAATGCCCGCTGCATTCGTACAAACATACAAACAAATGAATATATGTACATATATGTATACAAATATACATAACATTTAATGTGAGATATGAAAATGAGAAATTAAAATGGCAACAACTTTGCGGTATCTCCGTTTTATTTTATTTTTTTTTGCCTTCCGGCTTCTTTTCTTAGCGCGCATCCCAGCTTTTAGCTACGCGTCGTTTGGAGTTGTTGGTTTTTTGCGTTTGCTTATGTTATTGTTGTTGTTATTGCTGTTTATCAGCCAAAGTACTTTGAGAAGACGACGTAATCGAAGTGTCGACGTTGACGAGAAAATTACCGCATTAGCGTTACGCGTGTGTGCGTGTGCCTCTGTGTGTTCGCTTATAACGGTTTTATTGGCCGCGTATAGCAAAGCAAAGTGAAGCAAACCAAGTGCAGATGTGTGTGTGTGTGTGTGTATTTGTATATGTGTTTGCAGCGTAGCTGGAAATAAATATTGGAATGCAGCACCTAAAATATGCAAAGCCGCTGGATTGTGTTAATTGTTTTAAAGCTACTTCAAATAACCTAATTTAATTACGCGAAAAAAACGTGTGGAAAAAAAAAAAAAACAATAAGAAAATGGAACGTAGGAATAAGAAATACCATGTTATGTGAAATGTTAATGACACATCCTTGGCTATTAATCCAGGGGGAGAGAGCGAGAAAAGTATAGTTTTAGCTGTTAACCGAATATCGGCCATTGCTTTACGTATACAAAACACGAACGAAAGAGAAAGATGGCGCTACTTTAGATCTTCTACAAAGCCTTGTCAATGGACAATGTGGAGAGTGTATGAGAGGGAAATGTAGACAAAAAAGTGCAAAGAAAAGATTGAATTGTTAAATAATTCTTGCAAACAGAAAAAGGCAGAGCTGCCATACTTTCAAAGAGCTTTGCTCAATGAGACAGAGACTGGGGATGGAAGAGCTTAGAAGAGCGAGTCAGAAAAAGTTTGCACTAAAAACTTATTAAAATTACAATTACAATTCGAGCTGTGGGTAGGCCTCGCCCTGAAATGTGATTTAGCTAATTTGCAAACGATGCCAGCGCAAAAAATATGAATATTGGATGAGAGTTATTGTTAATGTTGATTCGTTTATCATACCTATACGAGATATGCAGATGGTGTTTAGATAGGCATATGTATATATTGTGAACTGAAGCTGTAAATTCCCCAATATCTAACCTTGGCTCAATTTGGCGCAACTGCTGTCTGCCCCGTTTTGACTTATTTATTTACTTTTGACTTGCAAATCTTTTGCAATAGACACACAACGTTGAAATGAAAATCCATATGGATATATGAATTTAACTGGTTACTCAGTTTAATGTGCAATACACGTTTTTCACTGACATTGAAAGCAACTATATAAATAATATATACAAATGTATATGATTTTTTTTGGCCTGCAAGTTGGCCAAGTTTAAAACACCGCTTGAATAGAGAAAACAAATTTTGGCACGTACTCAGGGTAAGTACCTAAAATTTTAACTATAAGAAACCAAGCAAAAGCGTTACAGTATGGCATACCTATATATGTAAAAGTCTACTGTAGAGAATGCTACTCTAAGATCAGATCCGTCATGAGCTCTAGCATAAGACTATCTAGCAGAGACAATCTCTGGATTACTGAGGATTGCGGATTTCATCTCAAATATATATATAAATGATATGTGTTCTATATACATATATATTCTACAGCTTTAATATATTTTTTGCTCGAGTTTTACTTTGTAATTGTTGCTTGTTATCAAAATAAGGGACTACCAAAAATAGTTATACTCTATCATTTGAGAGTTCACACACACACATAAATATTGAAGTTTCACGTCTTTTTGTACACAGACTTATAGATACATATATTGTAACTCTACGATCTACTTAAATCACGTTTTCAGATTCTAGATAAATGAAAAGTAAAGTAAAATATTTCTTCTTACTTTCGTTAACACTTTCTATAGTCTTTTGTGATCTGTATTTAATTTTATGTGATCTTTCTTACAATTTGGTTATCCAGCACTACTAAGCTAATATTACACGAAGTCTGAGAATTTGACAGACTCCAGATATTTATGTATATATATGAATATATTTGTGTATATGAAGTGATTATGCAATTATGCAACTCCGGCTCTTACACCTTTTTTATAGGGCATTTTCAGTGGGATCTATCGGAAATGATTAAAGAGGGTATATTTTGGTTTGTGTAGTCAGTGTGAGGGAACCTGTAAAGTATTTATGTATGTCGACTTAATCTATCCACATTCGGGTGTTTGTCTCTCTCTTTCTTCATACGCCATTCATCTTCATTCAAATAATTAAAATAAGTAAATACACAAAGGGCAGCAAATTGGGTTTTTGCTGTTTAGGGTATTTTCTAGTCGGGCACTTCCTCTTACACTTTGTGGCAGCATTGAAAACGCATTCAACGTTAACTAACTGAATGCAACAACGAAATGTGGCTGCACACGCGAAAAGCCGCAAACAAGAAAAGCGCCGGAAAAGCCACATAAAATAAGCAATTGAAAAGGAGTTCGATGAAGGAGGGGGCGGCAGCAGGCAACAGGGGATGTGTTACACCTAGTGCACCTGGCATCTCTCGAACGGGAGCCAATCTCAAATCT